ACAAGTAAAAACGTACCCCCACAGGAACAGTGTTAATTGCACTGGAAAGACATGCGATGGTACTCCATTTTTGCTTGGAGTCACGGCAAATGGGCGACTCGGTTATTGCATTGGAAAGGGCTACGCCCTCAGACATTATACAGTTATTCCAGGCCTACTGCTCTTGTCTCTTCGGAAGATACACCATGACCGACCGCTTTGATAGTTACAGAACCCTGACTGAGATGGCATATGTTATCAAAATCTCTTTCCGAAACGTCGGAGGACAATACTCCCACTCTTCAGGGATCGTGAATGGAAACACAAAAACAGCACCGTAACAAATTGCCTTGTAGGTAATCATAGAAAATCTGGCGATCGTTCGCGGGGTGTGCCCTATTCATTGGTCGTGAAAAGTGTTGTCAAGATGGGCTCTGACATCACCATGGTAATGTGGGGGTGCTCCGATAACTCTACACTTTACAATTAATATGAAGCCGAATCGATGTCCATGACAACACACGACGTTTTTGTAGTCCTGCTGTTATACTCAGAAAAAAAATCATTAATTCTATCCTGGTGCTACTGAATATTTGAACGCAGGGGCCAAAGAGTGTTGCTTTGGGTCTCCCGTCGTGTTTAATCTCCCACATGGATATAAACTCCCACGTGCGCTTATCACCAGTAATTATCTACATCTCCAATTCGGAAATATGCAATTTAGAACCTGTAACCCCTTCTGATAAAATAGTGAAGTCCAACATGTGTGACACTTGGCTATGGGACAAATTCGCAAACACGCTACATTGCACTAATTTAAAACTATGACCTAAAAGTTTTCAATGAATACGTTTTCTATGCCGTTGATGCATATTTATTATTTTTATTATTATTATTATTTACTTCAATTGGGTTTGCACCCGGTGGCAGAGGTCTTTACACTACACAATTACAACAAAATACATACAGTAAAAACAAATACACTCCATAGATCACCCTACACACATAACTATAACATCCACCCCTACAAAAACATCCACACCTTACACGGACACACATACACACAATACAAAAACACACATCCATTAATTAATCACAATACTTTAGAGTAAAATATAAAGTCAGACCTCAGTACATGATACTTGATACTTGTATCCCAAAGAACTAAAGTCACTTAATCACTTCGAGACTAAGACACTTCACTTATCATCATCTAATCCCCACTTAATAACCCTTTGCTTGTAACTACTTTTCTGACCCTCTTTCTAAAGGTGCTTAATTTACATGGGAAAGACTCTAGTACGCCTGGAGGTAAATGAAAAATTATAATCCCAAATTCCATCGAGAAATGTATTAACCCTATTCAGACATCACATGTTACGAGTTAAGACACAATTGCGTAAAATAAGGTGATGAAATTGATCTGATTGGGCTTCGGTTCCTGTTCTAAACCGTTGTGTGCAGCTGCAGAGAAATACGTCCCTTTTCTGTACAATTCGAATATAAATGAAACTGTATCTTCCATGAGAAACTGCCTCTGCCAAGTACGAGCAAAACTTGTCCACAGAAAGAAATAAATACGATTTAATGAGGATAATTATCATGTCACTGCGTCCGGTCGGAAAACAGGATCAGGGGCAAGCCACGATTCGACCTACCACCGCATAAAAGGGGTGTCCAAAATAAGTTAGGCTTCCTTACTCAACGTTTGCCAAAAACGTATGCCCACACAACATATAGTACATTCACCCACGAGATTTGACGCCGCGGTATTATATTCAGACTGGTTATAATTTTCCGTTACATGCTAGAAATGGAGGATCACCCCTTGTCGACTTCCTGTGACTGTTTGTTCAATAGGTTAGCAGATTACCCTCCATCACTGAAGGCCAAGTTCTGCATTTTATCGCCAGAAAGCGCCCAAGTCCAGAGGCCCCATTTAACATGCAAATCGTACAATATTTACATCGACCTTTTTGAAAATCGGTTCTAAGTGCAAAAGTTTGTAACATACAGCAGAAACGAAAAACAACCCTGTACGTAATATTTCTTTAAGAAAACATGGAAAAAAAAGTTTTCTTTTATAAAAGAAACAATAAGAAAGCTGTCACACATGTCTGTGTAAGTCCGTCCAAACTTAGCATACTAGAATTCACTAGGAAAATCTAATACTCTCGTATTTACTTTATTCTGAGAAGCTGTACATATCATGAATAAAACTAAGAAACCCAGAACAAATGTTGCATTCATCTTTTATCCATGAAATATATTAGAGGGAAAAAGTACACCAAAGCACTTATCAGCATACAAGTTCAAGGGCGTGCATATGGAGAATATAAGGAACCGGATTTTTCCTCCCTAACGCAGATTTTTTCGGGTATGGCGATTGGGGTCATGCCCTCTAGCCATTTTTCCGACAAGTGTGGAAGTGGACAATAATTCAGTTTAGTTTTACTTCTCCCTCTTATATTATATATCACATTATTCAGGTATATTCTTTTCGTCGTACAGAATGACAAAGTATTACAATAAATAGCCTATAGGCGCATCATGAATCAGAAATCAAAACCTGGATTTCATGTTTCTGTTATGATAAAAAAAAAACATTATTAAAATGATGACACGTCTTTAATGCAAAATTCTATTACGATCTCTCTGTCAAACACGGAGTACGTGGCAGACAGATACTAGAACATCAAACAGGCTTTAACCCATTTTTATGTGATCGGCTTGTCTTATAAAATATTCTTTCAATTTTTCTGAAAAGCGCCAGAGAAATGCGCAGTTCTGGCAAATGTTTACTAACGCGCATGTCTGCAGTTAGAGACAGACAAACACAGTGGTTTGTGTACGCATTCGCGCAGTTAATTAACTGTGTTTTAAGGTGAAAATTAATCCAAGTATTTATTAAAGTGTCAGGTGTTGTGCATTATCGGTATTACTACATTTTACAGGGGAAAAGTGTAAAAAAAACACGCTTGTTCCATGAGCGATTCATTCTGTAAATTCGACATCGGCCCTATGAAACAGACACCCTAGATACAAGGCGACCACGCTAAAACTGAATTTACGCTCAGACTATGAGACAGGGGAAGAAAAAGTATAATCTAGACGTCAGTGGGTTGCATATTAATACACAAATTCTAATTTTGTATTCACTTCTGCATGCAAAAAAGTTGTTTCAAATGTTCTCCAGAAAAATCAGAATCCCCTTCGACGGGCTACACCCAGCCTTCAGCACGTCTTTGACTACCCTCGCTTTGTGCATAACATTTTAATAAACAGAGGAATGATTTTGACACAAAACGTATCCAGTAAAAGACGGATATGTTTACAGGGGCCTTTGTACGCGTCACAGAAGTAAAAGCAGGAAGTCTGAACAATTTACAGCAGCACCATCTAACACAATAACACAATCAATGTTACTATGTAATTTCATATGTTCGTACGAAGACACAATTATTACCGTGGATGGGGGAAATGGTTCTGAAATACGAAACTGCATAATGTAAGTGCATCAATGTGACTAGAGGTGCTCTTCATATTCTACTGAGAGGTAGCAGAAGCATTAGCTGTTCAGTTCTGAATAAATGGATTTTGTAACATCTTGCGTCTAAATAATCTCAATCACGAAAACATATTTTGTGAGTAAAGCTACGAGCTAGGGATGACAGATCATATCTGACAATCCAGGATGTTCGAAAAACTGACATTCAGATGGTCAAGAAACCTTCTAATTTTATTGAACCGGAAGATTAATTAATTTCCCTGAAGACAAAGGTGATACATTTCTCCGAAACGTTGGCAACCACCTACAAGACTAAGTTGCCACATTTCATAAAAAACACAACCCTCACTACTACTGGCATTCTTCATGTCCTACCTACCCTTATTTAACCACTTTAACAATATCAGGATAAATAAAAATTATTAACTTCCTCATCACGCAACTTTCGCAAAGTTTCTAAAATCCAAATATTTTCCTTGGCGTTTTTATTCCCGTAGATCCTGAACCTACTATCTTCTTTCCTTAGACTAAGAGACCAAGCTTCTCATCCATAAATAACTTCCAGGCTCTTATCAATCGATACACAAAGAGCCCAGGCCCAAACGCGGTCATGTCATCATAATCTTAAAATTATGAGTTTAAAGGATACTGAAAGAGGCATACAAAGAAAACCTAAATCCTTCGAACAAAAAGGTTAAAATTCATTAAGTCGCATGATACTGTAGTTTAAATATATAAAATAAAATATCTCACGAATCTTCATGAACTTGTCACCCCTCAATCCACACCCTGAGGACCTATTCCCTTTTACGTTCCAATTATAAAAAAGACAGTAATACATAGACGTCTAACGATGAATGTTGTGTAAAACGAAATTTTAGATAACGACATGAAGCAGACGAAGTACGGATTTGGCCTGTCATTTAAAGGACGGCTTATTGTCAGCAGCTCACGTTTTGTAGGCCTTGAAATCTGGACAATATATTTTAGTGCTGACATTATTTCCAACAATTAAACTATGCTTGATTTATATGACACATATCTTAATATTCATACAACTTCAGAGGCCATTGTCGTGTAATAACGAAATTGTTAGACCTGTCCTTATTTCGAATGTGATAATTTATATATCATTACCAAAATTTATTTTTATGTCGATGTCATAAAACAGAACTTTGTTTTATTATACACTCTGCGCAACGTCATATATTTAACGCACCACTTCCTACTTCCCAATATTGCAAAGTTACGAAGACGTAAAAAAGAAAAGCAATAATGTACTTGCATAAATGTAAATCCTAAAACCAGAAGCATCCTACACAATGTTCTGCTTTTAGCTAACAATGGCCGCACAAGATGCCTACAGATACATAAAATATATAATATATAACATGGGGAGTAAAGAGGACAGATTTCACCGCTCCACTCTGTAGGTCTATCCCATAAGAGGACATTTGCATAAAGTAAACAATAAAAATGGACGACACAAATGAATAAAATATTCCTTACTCACCAATGGAATGAGAAGTATGACATCCACACCTAGAAGGAAAAGAGAACAGATATAAAAATTAGAATTAATATTTCTCCAAACCTGCAGTTAATGATAACAAAATGAATTTACTTGAGTGCTGACCATTCTTCAATTCCGTAATAAAACAGAAACTCCAGAATAATCAAAAACATTCTTCTAAAATATTTGCACTAGACACCAACGTTAACGGTATTACAAAGTTTATTCATATTGTGACAAGTGAAAATATATATCAAGTGTATTGCAATGTTCATATTACAAGCTAACTATCTAACTAAATGTCTTACGGAACCCGAAGGTTCATCACCGAATTAACCAAAGCCCTTCACTGGGCCAACAAAATCCAATCTCCTTCAACTCCTATCTCCCATAGATCCCGCCTGACATTATCCTCCCATCTACGTCTAGGTCTCCCCAACGGTCTCTTACCATCAGGCTTCCTAACCAATATCCGGTGCACACCTCTTGTCCCATCCATGCGCGCTACATGCCCCGCCCATCTCATTCTTCTAAACTTAATGACCCTGACAACACTGGGAGAGGAGTATAAATTTTTAAGTTCGTCATTATGTAGTTTTCTCCAGAACCCATCGTCTTCTTTCCTAGGCTCAAATATCCTCCTCAACACCCTATTCTCAAACACCTGCAATCTGTGTTCCTCCCTCTCAGTGAGAGACCATGTTTCGCACCCATACAAAACAACAGGCAAAATTATTGTTTTGTATGTTTTAATCTTCAGGTTCTTAGAAATGAAACGGGAAGACAAAATATATTGAACTGAAAAGCAGCAAACATTTCCGGAATTTAGTCTCCTCCTAAATTTCTCACGAATATAATTTTGATTTGTTATTGTTGTTCCCAAATATTTGAACTCTGTCACACTTTCAAGGGACGTATTACCTACCCTAAGTTAATTTTGACCGCCTATCTTCTGCTGACGAGATACTAACACGTACTTAGTTGTTTTCTGAATTTACTTCTAGCCCCACGTGTCTACTAGCCTCTAGTAAGACTTCTGTCTTCCTCTTTATTGCATTTATATCGTCACACATTAAATTAACATTAGCAGCATATGCCACAAGGGATTAGTCAACATCAAATTTTCACTGAGTAGCTCTGTAAGTGCAAAGGTAAGCAAGTTCTGGGACCATAAATACAAGACTTTAACGACTACAGCCTTCGTAATCCTCAACAATTCACTCCATCAAAGCTTCAGGTGTAGCAATAGAGTGCGTCGTTTAACTACAAAAACAAAAAGAACTTCGGCAGCAAAGAAGCTTCCCTAATCCCAGAGAAGCAGAGGAATATTTGAATACAAGAACAGTTCCTCTACGGACCATCTTCTGTAATATATTCAGCTATTTCCCGCCCACTCCTGGCGTCTGTTCGCACACCACGCAGCTTTCTCTGGCCCGCCATAGAATTTATGTGGCATAATGCATGCCCTGAGATTAAAATCATCCATAAGAAACCAAATCTCCGTTTACCTAGAGCGTAACAAGAGTTCCCTATACCATCCACACTTTAGGCCATTTCTCTCTTCAGTGGCTGCTCTGGTGCACTGATTTTAAAACAGTCTTCATCGTTCGAAGCTGAAGCTCATTTAATAGCATCTAAAAAGTCAGTTCGAACCTTAAATAAAATATAACACTTCACTATTACAACTGGTTACAACTGTTTCGGGAAATAGATCCTGTACACAATGAGAACATACGGACACCATAAATACAAAATGAATTTTTATTGATAGTCCCAAGTAACTGTTTTGCATTCAGCGAACGGAGAGACTCTCATAAGAAAAAGTAACTCAAAAAAAGTTGTCCATTACATTAATGTGCATCATTTTCAAATGAGTGACTTCCGAAAATGTCATTTGATTCGAAGTCAGATTTATAACTATGACGCATTTTTGAAAAAAAATAATTGCGGCTCGTCATTGCAAACTATCTGCATGGTCCATGACTTAAGGAAGATTAGTTTTCTGAAGTGACAACAGAAATATTATTATTATTCCATATATTCATCATTTTGCAGGGTACTTACTCCTATGTACCTGAGACAAACCTTGCCCCTGAGGTACATAGTTGATCAGCTATTTCCGAAATACATTTTGTTTTTAATATGTTATTATATTATTAAATAAATGAATTTAATTATACCATATAAAGCTTTCGTTTTCCACTGTAGAGTTTCCCCAGAATATTTTATTTTCTTCCTTCAGGAAAGCAGTGAATAATAGCACGAAATCCAAGTCCAAAAGGAGTAACGCGTTCACGCGGAGCTGCGAGGTTCTGTGTCTTGGAGTAAGAACTACAGAAAACGATTTCTGGTCTCTTTACATGTTCTTCCGCCCTTTTTTCATGATACATTAACAAGAAAAGATCTTTCATAGAACTGGCAAAGTTAAGCCAGCTTAACCCGAGGGCTCGACGCCGCCACGCAACTATAGAGGATGACGACAGAGCAGCAGCAGACTGGAGCAATTTTTTCGTCACCCCTTCTCCTACCCCCCAAAAGGTCTATTGGAAATGAGACGTGTTCTCCTCATAAAGCTACAGGGACTATGCACGCAGTGTCTAGCACTGTGATAATAACAATGCAATGAAAACATTTCCTTTGATTTTTAAACAAATGCGCTAATCCCTATCTCCGGAGATAGGGATTAGCTCTATCTAGTGGGCCCAACTGTGTAGGAACCTGAAGACGGAGATAGAGTCACATCTCCGAAACGTCGTTTTACGTTTTATATTTACTAGACGATGGATAATATCCAAGAAAATTTTTATACAAATGCATTCATGACTAAGAAACTGCAAAAAATTAACCTTCTGGGAGTACGACTCTAGCGAATATTTATTAATCACGCAAAGGACAATTCGTGTAAAATAAACTTCTAACTTCACAAAAATTTGTGACAACTTTTAATGAGATGAGATACGTGGAATAACAATGTCACTCAACTCACCCCTGACACACCTCATCAGAATCATAAATTTGAACGTAAAACTGCGTCTAATTTAAGCTTGAAGCAAAGGATTTTATCTGATGAAACTAGAGGATTAAAATGGCTACACAGGACAGTGTCAGATACATGAAAATATGGAAATTTATATTCCCATCACATTCGATGTTTGTAACCCGTCACTGATCCAGCTTCATTAAATAACCTAAAAATAAACCATAAAATAATAATTAATCATGTCAACGAAGGAGAGACTCAGATATTTCAGGAGTGGGAATGAAAATTCCAGACTATTTAATTAGGTGTTTTCCAGCGCTGCGACCAAGTGTGTTTAGTAAGCGCTCGGATATGAATTAGGGACATGCTGATTGCAGCCGTTCGTTGTTTCATTTCTCATTTTCCTCGTTGATTCAGAACATAGGGGCGGGTGGAGGGAGGCAAACCATGTTACAGATTTGCTGCATGATACCCCTACACTCTGTAATGTGTTCATTAATGTCCCTGGAAGGGACAGGCATTAATGGCTCTATGTAAAGTTCATACATGGTATTCAGTTTTTTATATATAGACCTACAGGACGTTTCGAAAGATTTAACAATATAAAAGCGTATTACTCTTTACATTTTGGCGATTAATAATGTTTAGAGTTAATTATTAAGTGAAGACCAAATGTTACGGCTAAATAGTTCGGCCATCACACCTGCTTCGCCTAATGTTTATTAACTCCCGTGTTCGATTCTTGATCCTGATACAAAATATCTTCACAGGTTTTTCGTTATTTCCTTCGGACTCCCCGATGATATGCTGGAAAAGTACGATCATTTTCACATCCTTTCCAATTCGTAATATATAATGATCCTCCCATTTGACTACATATAAAATATACACGTCAGAAGAAGTCTCTAAATAACGCAATAAACTTCACAAAGCAAAGACTGAGGCTTATTTTTTACACAGGTTAATTGTACTTCTATACTTGTGTTCACTGGGCCGATTATAATTCAATCTGGGTGTATTATAAGCTCAGTTCAATTTTTTTGGAAGACTGGACTTCATTGCCAACTCCATATAATGCTTACAGAAATGCGTCTTTAACTGTAAGGCAAAAGTTTATACACAGTGTAATGGTAGGATGATTATTACGATTTTGAAAATTCGTGGAAGTTTTCGGTGGTTGTGTACTTTAAGGGTATAGTCAGGAGGGACTGAAGACAACCACAAAATACCTGAGTCATGACGTCGAGCTTCCGGATAAAGATTTGAACCCGGGATTTTTTAAATATAAAACAATAATATTGTTACGAAAGGAGCGTGGTCTGGAGATAATTGTAAAATGGGCGGGGCATTTGGTAACCATCCTCCTAAATATTCCATTTTGACTCGTTTCTGAATTATTTCCAGCTAACCTGGCAATCTTTCCATGCTAACATGTCTTGAAGAGCAGTTTTATATGAGATTTACAACGATATCCGAGCGCCTTAACGTACGGTTATTGGTTTATGGATGGACATGCATCTTATTTATCAACGTAAAATACTGCGTATTCGATTTCAGAGACGTTGCCAGGATATAGCGCTCTTAAGTCCAGACATTCATAATAAAATGGCATTGCACAATATTCGTGCGCCGCGCGGCTACATTTATTTATACGAGGACTGGCAGCTTGATAAATGGTGAAAGCAACGGAAATGTTCTGTCGCAAGGAAAAGCTTCCAGTTTCCGAAGGGAAATGAAGTTTTAAACATAAATTCAACTTTTAAGCATCTCGTGGCGATTGCTTCATGGCAGCAACACCAGCCTTTAGTAATGCAGTTGTGTATTTAAAAATACTGAATTGCATTTACTGTTCTAACTGCTGCAGTCTTTTGTCATCACGCGTCAAACAGACATTATGATTCATAATAAAGTACTAAATACCGCATGCAAAATTCTAAATCATAATTATTAATATTCAAATATTTTCTAATGGTTAACGACGCCAGTGCATTATTCATGAACTCCCAGACGTCATCCTGATGTAGACATATTTGGGATGACGAAATTAACCA